TCATTTATTTTATTTTATTTTATTTTATTTTATTTTATTTTATTTTTTGTGGAACCAGGGGTTGAACTCAGGCCCTTGAGCTTGCCAGTGGAGCACGTATTCTACTGAGCCATCTCCCTGGGCTCATCACATTCATTCAGGCTAAGACACTGGGGTTTTTTGTTTGTTTTATTTTGGTGGCACTGGGAATTGAACTCAGGCCCTTGCATTTCCAGAGAAGTGCTTATTCCACTGAGCTATCTCCCCAGCCCTATAATAACTATTTAACACCAGAGAATATAACTGAAACTTTGATAGGGTTGATAGTACATACTATTTTCTTATGAGTAAACACATGAATGAAAAGAATCAGAATTAAGTGCCCATTTGAATATAGACACCATGTTAATATATATTCAGAAATGGTGTCTAATAGATTAACTCAGCAAATATGTAAGAAATGCCTCATTACAACCTGAAAAAAATAAAAATAAAACCAGTGATAAAGAAGGGGAAAAAAAGCTCTGCAATGCAGGAAACACATCCCCCAAAAAAGAATTAAGTGCCCATGCAGAAAATAGGGCAGGTTAAAATTCATATTTTAATTCATACTTCTAAAACTAAATGATCCATAATCATGTTGTTGTATGTAATAGAAAGATTAGGAAACAGATTTCTTAAATGTCAACCGAAAAACCTGAAGAAGGACAATGATTTGAAACTGGAACCATTCTCTTCCAGATAATAACATGCATGTCTAGTAAGCACAAATAAATATGTGCAGGGGAAGTAGAAACAGAAACCAGCATGGAGACCACCAGTCGCAGGATACCTGTCAATACTACAGGTGCACGCTACATGAGAGACGTCTGCCTTCTCCAGCCAGGCACTCTGCCTCTGAGTAGCCATCTGGTTAAGTTAGAGCTAGACTTGATCTCCCTTTATGTTAAATAATGCACATGTTCCAATGTTTTTTTGTTAGAATATCTGGGTTTTCACTTTCTTTCTCAGGATCCTGGGCACAGATTTTGATCTTCCATCAATGTTTCGTAGCATGAAGGAGACAAAAAACTAAGTTTCAATTATTGATCACAATACTCTCCCTTCCGTTTTGTTCTTTTTTAAAGCTTACTTCTCTTGCTCTCACTCTTGCTCTAAGTTCTACAGCACCGTGGTACTCTTCGGCTTGTTTTGGCTACTTTTATTGTTGTTCAAATCTAACAGTGATAGGTAAAGTTCTTTGAAGTTATCTAAATTCTAGACTCAGCAGGTTAGCCAGTCTTTATTTCCTCCTGAAACATACTGACTGGCTCCTCTATCAGCCTCAAACTAAAAATGTTGGAGGAAGCCCTCAGTATGTGTGTCCCTCCTCCCACTAGTGGAGATGGTAGTAGTGGGCATGTTCTCAGACCTATTTTTATCTGTGAGTATTGCAATTATGTAATACAGTGCATTCTAAAATCAAAGAGCTATTCATCTAAAGGGGAAAAACATTATTACTTCTCTGAAAGGCAGGTCAATATTCTGGAAACTTGCTTCAAAAACAGAAACAAAATAAATATTGTTGACATAGGTGTGAAGGATAAACTGTAAGAGTAGGAAAACAATCTAAAATTTTAGAAGGACTGTATTCAGAATGCTCATTATAGGTGACCTCAAAGTAGAAGGGAGGCTATTAGATAGAAAGAAGAAGATGGGAGAAGGGAGAGCGATGAGGAAGAGGTAAGGGGCAGTGGGAACTATGGAAGCATTTTTTTTGTCTCATTGATACAGGGTCTCACTACGCAGTTCAGGCTGGTATTGCACTTACTATGTAGCCCAGGCTGGTCTTGAACTCTCAAGGATCCTCCTGTCTCAGCCTCCTGAGTGATGGGATTACAGGCATGCGCCACCACTCCTGGCTCGAAGTATGTTATATGCATGTGGGAATATGCCAAAAGGAAACCCACTGTACTGTATAACTGATATATATATATATATATATATATATATATATATATACAATTGAGTAGTAAATAAATACTTCTTTCCATGGGAAGGAGGAAATGTTTCTCAGGTTCCCTGATGGGGCTCCCTCTGCATTAAAGAAACTGGAAGTGGCAGCCAAAGTTTATATTATCAGTAGGACTTACGGAGAAGGCCTATTAGTGAATCTCCACACAAAGAAAAAGCCTTCATACGACATTAACATTTTTGTGACTATTTTAAATCAAAATAAAAGGTTTAGATCATATTTCGATGATCCCTTTGCTAGCTGACTTTCTCGATTAGCTGTTGGACTACAGATACTCAGGAAACTGAAAAAGAGAACATCTAGTAAACACTTTTACTCCTCCTCCTATTATTTACTACATCTCCTATTGCTGTTAGTTCTATTGCTAATTAAGTAAAACAGCCAAGTGTTCAGTTCAATCAGAATGCTTCAATTTCTATTAAGGGATATAATAATGGAGCCGTTGACTGGGTAGAGACCAGTTGATAAAGTGATTATTTGGGAGAAGGGTTACTTTGAGAAGTATCTAATGGGCCTGAGCAGACCTCAGGAAATTAGCCAGCTAGGAATCATCGTCATGAGGGCACTGAACACATGAATACAGAGATATGGAGATACCTGATAGTAGAAAAAAGGAACGAATAAGTAAGCAAAAGAGGGCCATGAGGGAGAGAG